AGGAAGGAAGGAAGGAAGGAAGGAAGGAAGGAAGGAAGGAAGGAAGGAAGGAAGGAAGGAAGAAAACTGGTAATATGGAGAAAAAGATCCTTCCTTAAAATTTCAAAAAATTTCTATTTACAATTATTAGAGCATTCTGGGAATAACAAGTCAATACCACAGTTGCACAACTATATGTTTTAGCACCTTGCCAAACCTGAACTTCATTAATGAAAGGGCAAATTCAATGAATGACTTAAAGTACCTAATAAAGGACATCATCCTCACAATGTATGGACAGCAAAAATAATAACGAAGACCTAAGGGATGGGGTGAAGTTACTGTGCTTCCAGAAACAAGACAGTTCAATAAACTTAACCAGAATTGTCTTTCTTCCCAATTTTTCAACTGAATGCCATTTTCAAATTTAAAAATATTCATATATAAAATGATCAGCTTCTAAACAGTAGTCTTCTCTGATCTGATCCTTGAGTCTTTTACAACCACAGGGACTAAAAACCTCCTGTCCACGAGGAGTCTTCCCAAGCCTGACACCTTTTCTGTAGCTTCATTTTTTTTTCTTTTTGTTATGATTAACTTATCTAACAAATGACACAGAAGCCTGTTATTTTTTGTATTGGAGGGAAGACTATCTTTGCTTAGAAACCCAAACATTATGATGAGAAAAATGAGGAGGCATTTAGTATTCATATAGAAATGCCTTAATCAATGTACAAATAATGCCGCCCTAAAAGCCCAACCCTAAAAGTCCTGTGTGACCCAACAGACAGGAGTCTTGAAAATTAAAATAATTCAGTCCTCCATACTGCTGCTAAATGGCCATGTGACTCCAAGCAAGTGAATTTGCTTCTCTAGACCTCTATTTCCTCAACTTTAGAAAGATGGAATTTGATGTTGCCATCTCACCACAATGGTTTTTACTAGAAAAGTGGAAAAGAAATCAAATGACAAAAGTGGTATGAAAATAAAATACTTCTCTGTATGTGTTTTAAGATGGCTGTATGCATGTGTTGAACTCATTAAATTTTTGACATGGTAAGCAGGATTGCATTGCCCTGCCAGTACTTGAAAGAAAGGCCTCCTGTGGATAGAGAAAATAATCCAATCAACCAACACAGCATCAAGGGGTTAAGGGATGCCCACATAGTCAATCATAAGCAAACTGTTCTAAACAGTGATTATTGCAGAAGTGGGATCATTCTCAACTGGGATGAAACTACAGATTAAATCAACACACACATACAGAGAGAGAGAGAGAGAGAGAGAGAGAGAGAGAGAGAGAGAGAGAGAGAGAGCGCAACAAGGAGACATGTACATAAATAGTTCTTCTAAACAGTGATTATTGCAGAAGTGGGATCATTCTCAACTGGGATGAAACTACAGATTAAATCAACACACACACATACAGACACACACACACACACACAGCAACAAGGAGACATGTACATAAAAAGTTCTTGGAAGCGTAGAATTGATCGCGCACATATGGGGAAAGGAGAAATAAACAGGACTGGATACATGGTAAGGCCCAAGTCTGAACACAGAACCTATGTAAGAATGCTGGGAAAGACAGTCGAAGCATTTGTTTCCCATTACCTTACCCTCCCCATATCTGCTTTATCAAGTTAGAGAGGAGTCAAACTTTCGCCATTTGAGTACCAAGTTGACTTTTCAAATTTGTGACACAGCAGAGCTCTTGGAAAACATGGCTTTTAACTGCCAGATGTTTCATTTAATAAATCAACTGTCCCAATTCAAATAGTTTATAAGTAGCAGGAATTCAAACCCAGAGCCTGGAGGAATATAAACAATGCTGTTTTCCTATCTTATTTTGCTTTCCATACCCAATTTTCACCTCTAGGGAAAAGAGAGCACGAATGGGAAACTCCAAATACTTAGATTCATACTTGAATTTATTTTTTTTATTTTATTTAAAAGGTTTTTTTTTTTTTTCTGTTTTACATACCAACCACAGCCTCCCCTCCCTCTCCTCCTCCTCTCTACTTGAATTTCTAAAGACCATCCCAGAGTACACTCCCAAATCAGGACAGTACGAAAAAATGGCAATCTCAAAAGAGGTCTAAGGGAATGGTGAAAAGAAATACCTTCATTAGCTTAACTAGGAATAGCCCAGGAAGTAGTAAGATTTATAGAGAAATCTTCTGTCAGAGTCTAGAATGGCAGGAAAACAGTATGTAGGTAATGAGCCTGTAGAGACCTTCAAAAAGTCTTTCTCAAACTCACACCAAAAACAATACAAAAAAAAAAAAAAATGCAAAAAATGCCTTCCCTCAGAAAAACCAAAGGCTA